CTTCTATCAATAATGAGAGTTATGAACGAAATTTTCAGCAGTACTTTTCTTAGAGTAACTTTCAGTGAACTAAACAACCTTTTCTCACACTTCGCAACCTTCAGGGATGCTTAGTTATTACAAAAGTTTCACAATGTTCGAATACTTTTCTGAGGCACTTATGTTTGTAATAAACCTATTATAAAAACCTATTATACGTCGTTGAATTGTTTTCAAATTTTACTTGTCTTACTTTAAGACCTGTCCGATATTACATATGGCAAATTATTTGAAGTACTTTAGCTTAATATACATATTTCATTCGTTAAATGTTAAAAATGTAAGCGTTGAAATATTCGCGCGCGCGCGCGCGCGTGTGTGTGTGAGTGTGTGTAGATATTTACGCGGAAGAGACTTTATGGAGGTCGAGAACAGGTGGCCTACAAAAGAATATGATCTACACAATTATACGTATAGGACTCACATATACAGTTTCGTTTCCTCCACAAAGTTTTCTTTCGTTTTCCTTATCATCATTTTGTTCCTATATCAATTTTTACATTTTCTTTTTGTTCCTGTCGTTGACGATTGTTTAAGATTTAATATGAATCAAAAGACGTATAAACTACAAGAATATAATCAAAATGCGATCAGATAGAAATAAACTGCGAGAGACAGCGACTTTAGTATTTCATATTTAGTTTTTTGTTTTCCTGTGAACGATATTTTTTCGGTCAAAGATGATTCCACTTCTTGAGAGAAACATTTAATTTTGTATTATCTCGGTAACAACACTCAGTTGGTTTACGATTTGATTTACGACTAAATCATTCATTCATTACAATTCATCAGAATTTAGATTGTTAAGTGACAAAGGAAAACGAAAAAGTACCGAGGAGATTCGTTCAAGCCACTCGTCTCATGCCATTTTATCTGCGAAGAAAGGTGAGTGATTCAGAAGTTATATAGCATAGTAATATTTTCAAATAGTATTTGCTCCTGAAAATATTTCAATTTCTGGTATTTCGTCCCAAGTTGTATCAAATTTTACCCAGCTCTGCAGACAAGTGGTGTGCTTGCAATACTTTACGTAGTTATGAATATTACATAAGTAAGGTAATAGATCGTGAACATAATTTTATAGATCTTGAAAGTGGCACTCATACGCAAATTACAGGATGAGTCATTTAATTGTACCATCTCAATTTATTTGAAAACTGTTTGTTACATAAAACAACTTCTTGTATAAAACAATGTTTCAGGCAAAAATTGTTTGATACCGCGAAAGAGTGTACGACGTAATAATTAATTTATTTATATTTTCCTTTTTGCTGATGACCTTGTATTTTTCTATTGTAATATGTAATATTTGATTTTGCAATTCGAAAAGACACTAAATGCTAAGTAAAGAGCTACTAAGATATATGGGGCAAAAATTAACAATACTGAGATATTCTCGCTGTATGTTATTTATAGATAGCTGTTATGCGACTGTCCCTTTAGCTGAAGAACTTTTGCAGAAAAAAACATTCATTTGTGGTACCGTACATGTGTACAATTATTCAAGGAAAAAATGACAAAGTAAAGCCCGATGCTATTTTTTTTATAATAATGCAAGAAAAAGAGTGTTGATTTATGCGATCAAATAACATTGTACTGTAGCTGTTCCTGGAAAACCGTTGGCACAGAAAAATTATTCTACAATTAATTATACCAATGCGTGATATATACATCAAAGATGGCATAACAAACATATTAATATTTTACAATTTAGAAAAAAAAATTATTGATCACCTTTTGACCAATAATCACAATATTGAAGAAATGGCTATTGAAAAGCAAATACCTTAAAAAAAGATTCACATATTCTTCATTCGTATAATGAGTCTGGAAAAAAGCCAAGAAAAAGATGCGAGGAATATTATAAATGCTTACATAAAAAAAAGATAGAGATTATGCCACGAAGAAAGGTAAAAGAGTAACGACGTATTGTAATCGTTACGAGGGTCGGCCAGCACTCTGTTTGAAATGCTTTCAAAAATTGCATAGAAATACAGAAACAACATTGTCTGATGGAACATTCAACCTTGAGCCGCTGGGAGATTCGAACTAATGGTACACGCCGGCGTGAACGTGTTCATGCATTTATAAACACATCTGGCCTCTCCAGCCAAGCAATGTTGATTCTTAAATGAGTTCCGTAGTAGTACGTCATCGGTAGAAGAGAAGGGGCGCAACGACACAATGAAATTTATTAATATTGAAATGCTGGATATCATTCTCGTTTATGATGCATACGAGGAAAAAGTTGTAACAAAATACTTACACGTGGAAAAATATCGTAGCAAATATGTACCATTACGCCGTGTGTTTCAAAAGCTTTGTAAAATGCTAGAAAAAACTTGGAATTTCCATTCAAAGCGTAAACGTTCGCACATTGCAAGGACTGAAGATAAAATTAATGTCATACTTGCCGCTGTTAATCAGGATCATTATATTAATACGCGGCAAAAATACCCCAAACTATAAGGATTAGCCAAGCAAGTGTTGTAAGAATTCTCTATTCACAAAGATCTTTTCGTGATCGTATACAATTGCACGAAGAATTGCAAGGGACAAAGTTTCAAAACCGTATAAAGGTTTGTGAGGGCCTTTTAAATAAAACAAATACAAATGATACATTTCTACAAAATATCTTGTCTACTGATGAGACTACATTTACAAATTTTGGTCAAGCTATTATAAACAAATATGCCTTATAATTATATACGATGACAAGAAAATCCACATTGGCTTCACCAAATCGATTTTAGCGCGGTATGATTGACAATAAAATAATTGGATCTGATTTTATTGAGAGATCATTGATTGGACACAAATATTCCATTCTCATATCCCAAAAACTATCGTCACATTACAAACAGATTTATGACTACAAACACTGACAACGTGGTATCAACAAGGCGATTGTCCTGTATATTACGCACTACAAGCGCATCAAGCGATCCTTCCCTAATCGATGATTTGGACGTGGACCAGAAATTCCATGTCCGAATCTGGCGCTACTCGACTACTTTTTTTGGACATTTAAAAAACAAAGTTTATCAGGAGCCAGCCGACACCCGAAGACACGATGAATCGTATTATTAGAACATATAAAGACGTAACTCCGGAAACGCTTGAACATGCATCACTCGCTTTCATTAATCGTTTCCGTACTTGCATCGAATGTAATGGATAGCACTTTGAACATTACTTAAATTAAAAGTAAATTAAAGAATATCTAGGAAATTTTTAGTTTGCGACCTCATATACTTCAGTAATCTTTTACTCGGTATTCGATACATTTTGAAATTTCAAGATCAAATATTACATGTTATAATAGAAAAGTTCAAGGCAACTTTCATATCTCGATAAAGAAAAGAAATATAAAAAAGTGCTTATTACGTGATACATTACGCTCGATGCCAAATCGATATCTAATGATGTTCGAAATATTCTTTTATACTACAAATAGTTTTCCAGCGAATTTAGGTGGTACAATTAAATGAATATTATTGAGGTTAGTCCTTTAATTACTACTTTGTAGCTTTTTTCTACCTTGAGTTAGAATGTATGATAGCCAGCGTTTTTCTCCAGAGGTGGTATTAAACGTATTAGTTTATTAAAGAGACGAGTGGTGAAATTGTGATAGCCAGGTATATTAAAATCACGTTAAGTGTAAGTACAGAGATCGCAAATTGTCGTTCTCTCAATGCTACCGTATGACTCGCTATACTGATTCGTTATACTGGTTCGTTATACTGCTTCGTTATACTGGTTCGTTATACTGGTTCGTTATACTGGTTCGTTATACTGGTTCGTTATACTGGTTCGTTATAATGCTCGCTATACTGATTCGCTATACTGGTTCGTTATAATGCTCGCTACACTGATTCACTATACTGCTTGTAGTGACACTCGCTATAAAAACTGATCCTTCTAGAGAGGATGTTCGTCTATTTATATCGATCGATTTCAAAAAGTTCAAATGTGATTCCGGTTGCCGATTACTCATAACGGCGATAATATTTTTCTTCGAAGTTCGTTTATTCTTGAATCCTGATGGACACTTCGCTGTTGCAATAATTGCGTAACAGCAGAGTAGTGTCGGACTCTTACCGACTAAAACTCCACGATGACCATCCTACGCGTATGACAGGGGTGCTTCAGGAAGCTCTTATGAATTAACTTCAGTTGCACCCCCTTCCCGCGTTCTCTTGTTCTAACCAGTTCTAATACTTCCTGACTATTGAATTGGCGTTAGGGGAGCCATTGCCCCTAGCGCTGTCTCTCCTTATTGGTATTCAAGGGAGGCTTGCCTTGTGTGCTTCGACCATCCAGCGGCCCAGAGGGGCCCAACTCCAAGGGCGAAAAGTGGCTTCGGCGCGTCTCGTCTTCGTCAACACCTTACGGAGCTGTCACCCATCTAGACCGCTCCGTGACCGCTGATGCTTAACTTTCGTGATCGGCCGGGAACGAATGTTTCCAGCGCTTTTTTTTTTAATAACGTTTATTAGACCAAGATACATTTTAATACATTTGGGTATTCACAATAAACTATGAATTTTGATAAGATGTGTTAGGCAAAAGTACCGATACGGCACGGCGTAACCATACTATGTTATGTGCCGGCGTTTTACATTTTTTGTGTTTAATACAATCTTTGGATTTAAGCCGCTGGGGAGCGGAGCGGAGCTTTTATGTGATTTGTTTTTATTTGATTTTTTCTGTCCTGAAAACTTGGACGCAAAACAGGACGCTTCGGTAGCCTACTTTTTGGGTGCTGTGTAACTTTGGGGAGGGATGGGATGAGAGGGGGGGGGGGGGGGGGGGGGGGGGGGGGAAGTGGGATGCTAAATAGGTTTATTTAAAAAAATTTCCAATAATTATAATGTTTGCACCTGTGTTATACGGGGGAAAATTGAGTTCTATCGGTTTTCTCTCTTATTTTATTATGTATTCGCCAATATATTTTTGTGTTTTTTCTGTGTTTGTCTTTAGTGTCTTTCAGGGGGAGGGCCATGTTGTATCTCCACCTTTTTTTTTATGCGTGGCGAGGAGGGGAAAATGCTGTTACGCATACCCAGTGACCCGTGTCACTGGGTTATGTGGGACTCGGGCAGATGTCGTCGCCATACCCACTAAAAACCCCTCCTCCTTCCTCTCCTTTAATTCCTGGCAAGACAACCCCGGCAAAACGTCCGGCATTCATCGGGGTTGCCCTTATCAGCCACTCGTCATCCTATCTCCGCGTGGTTGCCGCGCTCGTCATCCTCTTCTTCTCAGCCTCCATCGTCCTCTCCACCTCCCTCCTGTGACTCATGACGGTCTTGCAGAACTGCCTGAATCTGTTCCAGCTGTTATCGTTGGCGGTGGCCGTGGGCATAAGATTGTCCACGTCTAACTTCTCGCCCAGACAATTCTCCAATTCCGTCCTTTTGTCCGTCCATTTGGGACACGCGAAAAGGACGTATTCCGCGTCGTCGTTCGGATCTCTGCAGTCTAAACACCTGGAGTCCTTGTCCTTACCAATCCTCATCCTATAGCTGCTAAAGATCCCGTGGCCCGTTAGCAGCTGCATAGTGTCATGATCCATATCCCTCTTCTTCCTGGCAAAGAGGAATGCGCTCGGTACCAACTTCTTAGTGATATTCTCCTTCTTGTACGCATCCCATTCCTCTTGCCATTTGTCATACGTCTTCCTTCGTAACGCCTCCAGCTCATCCTTCAGGGCACTGTCGTTACCGTCGCCGATCCTGGTGTTCTGTATCTTGATCCTCTCGTACGACCCTTTTAACAGCTTCGCCTTGATGTAGATCGACAGATTGCCGATCAACACACAAAGCGCTGCATGCGGAACCGTGCGGTAGGCCGTCGTCGTTATACTCAAGGCGGTCCTCTTCATTGCCCTCTTGTTCTCCGCCCTGTCGACGGCGTCCGCCTACACCGGTGCACCGTAGAGTACAACGGACTCCCAGACGTTGTAGTAGAGCCATCGGGCCAAGTTGGGCGACCCGTTGATATTCGGCAGGATGCCTCTAAGGGCTCCAGTCAGGATGTCAGCTTTCCCACAAACCGCCTCGATATGTTCGTCGAACCTCCTGCGACTGTCGATCGTGACACCAAGATACTTAATTGCCTCGACTGTGTCCACGACCGTGTTCCCCAAATTAAGCCCGACCACCAGCGGCACCCGCATGCCGGTGACGAACATGACCTCTGTCTTCTCTCTGGTCACTTTGAGGCCTACGCTCGCGCACCAGTCATTCACTATTCTTTACATGGTATTCACCTTGGCGGTAGCTCCTTCGTTCCTCCCGATAGCACACGCGATGGCTAAATCATCCGCAAACGCGGTTGCCCTCACCATCACCAAGTTATCGAGCCTCTCGAGCAGCCGGTCGTTCACCAAGTTCCACAGTAGAGGCCCAAGCACCGATCCCTGTGGAACTCCTGCCGCCACCTCGTATTCCATCGTTCCATGTTGATTGCTGGCGAGGATCCTCCTCCCCGTCAGATCAATCTGCTAATCTTCCCTGGCAACTTCCTCCTGTCCAATTCGCTCGTGATGCTTTCCCAACTCAATGTGTTGAAAGCATTACTGATATCCAGGGCGATCTCTTTTGCTTACAGATGTCCGCGAACTTCATCACTTGCGTGACGGCGTCCACTGTACTCCTCCTCTTCCTGAACCCTTATTGTCTTCGGTGAAACGGGTCCACCCCGATACACCTTTCTATAATCGTCTTCACGCATTTCTCCCAGATCTTGCTTAGGGCTGGGAGTATGCTCATCGGCCGATACGGGTTAGGAAGTCTAAGGTCCTTACCCGGTTTCCTCAGCAGCACGACTCTGGCCGCTTTCCAGCATTCGGGGATCCGCCCTGTATCGGTAATGTTATTAAACACACCGGTCACGAGCTCGCTCCTACGACACGCTATCACCCTCGCCACCTCTCCCGGAACACCGTCTATTCCCGCCGCCTTCTTCACGTTAATTTTTTCGGCGATGCCAACGACATCGCTCTCGTCCAGAATAAGATTCCGTTGAGCCTCGTCCATCGCCTCTTCTTCGGCACCCTCGTGACACGAAGATCTGTGTCCCACGACGAACAGCTCGCTTAGAATCGTTCTAACCGAGCTGATCGGCATGTCGCTCACCGGCCCTTTGCTCTTGCATCTGTTCGTGACCACGCGATAGGGTTCACTCCAAGGGTCGTTCTCCAGAATTTTACAATATTCCGCCCAGCTCGCCTTGCTCTGGGCGATCTCCTTTTTAAGTAGTCTTCTCGTCTCCTTATAAGCGTCGACGAGATGCTGATCGCTGGACTTCTTCTTTCTTCCCCTTGTGACCCCCCTCAGTGCTTTGTGGATCTGTGTTCTCAATTCCGCGATCTTCGGACTCCACCAATAATTCGCATATTTCCTATTGGTCGCACAGCCCACTTTCTTCAATGAACCCTCGCACGTTGCCACGATACGCTTCTGCAAGAGCTCAGTCTTGTCCGCCTCGTCCACCTTGCTAAGGTTCTCCCTCGTCAAGTCGTCGAACTTACTTAAAATCTCGTCAGGCACTAAGTCCTTCGTTCCGTACCTCCGCCACTCTGTCATCCGTCTGGTCGTCCTCGATCTAAACTCGTGCAAAACGTAGCAATGATCCGAGGCCGTGTAGCAGTCTAGAACGATGCTTCTCTTATGTGTCTCGTTGACCCTGTTCGACACACTGATTACATCAGGGCAACTCATCTTCCCGTTCCGGTAAAACGTATATTTTTGGTTGAGTCTTAGTGGAAACACTCCGTAACCACATAGTGTCTCCATCAAGACTCTTCCTTTCTTCTTTTGTCCGTGGTCGTGCCTCCCCAGCACGTCGTCTTCGCGTTAAAATCACCGGCAACGACGACTTTGTCGTAGTTCTTAGTACCGTCTTCGGTCATCGATGCCAGCTTGTCTATATATTCTTCGTATTCTCGCTTGCCGATATTGGGTGAGCAGTATCCGCTGATGAGAAACGTGTCACCAGCACGGATACCCACCACCCCTTCTTCCTTAACCATCGTGCTTTCGTCCGGGAGCTTCCCATTGAAGAATGTGACCCAGATCGACGCGTCCGATTTGGTGTCGTTGTACCAGTATGGGAGCTGCCTGTTAGGCTCGGAGATAACGACGATGTCCGGCCTCAGCTCCATCGCCCGCTGATACAAGAGATCCTGCGCCAGCCTACACCTACTGAGGTTGATTTGAAGGATCCTTATCTTCTTCTCAATAATCTCCTATATCCTGGGCACGCTAACGACCCGGTAACGTGGTCGAACTTCACCCCCACATCCTTGCTGCAAATCGCGCAGCATGGCGCGTTAGCGCAGGTTGTTATCGTGTGGTCTTTCCCTCCACACTTCCTACACAGCTCCTTGCCTGGGCTTATCGCAGAGCACTTATTCGCTGTATGCCCGAACAAATGGCACCTATAGCATTTAACCACGTTGGGCAACGCCCTTAACGTGGCTATCGTCAAGCCGGCCCTGATCTTCTGACTCGACCCATTCTTGCCTTCGGCAGCGTTGCTATCGCCGTTTGCGTGCCCTACGGCGCCAGCCCTGAGGACGCTGAGTCCTCACCTCGACCTCGCCGACGTCTTCGATCCCCAGCTGCTCCGCTAGCTTCATCGCTAACTCCTCCTTGCTCATCAAGGGATCTATCTCCTTTATCTCCACGGAGGTCTTGTCCCGCATCGGTACCGCGTTCGCCTTACCTCCCAAGGCTGCGTTCAGCTCCGCACCGATCTTCTTGGCGTCGCTTCCCGCCTTCAGCTCGATGAGGATATCACCAGCCCTGGTTCTCCTGATACCACAGTTGTCGCTCAGCGTCTCCCTTACCCCCATCACGTCTCTATAGACCTGGAGCCACTCCTTCCCTGTCCCACCTTGACAAGGATGGCTTCGGGTCTGTTTCTGCTCCTCTTTGGCCTTTCAGTTCGTTTCGGCCTGTCCACCGCTAGAACCTTCTCCGCCTCAACCCCTTTCCCTATTCCAGGGTTGTTCTTCTTTCCCTCCTTACGTCCTCGGACGACGGTCCAGTCTCCCCTACCATCGCTGTCTACCTGGCCCTCCTTCGCTCTCGTCGCACACTGGATGCCGCAAACTTCGGCGTAGGAAACTTCCTTGTTCGCCGGTCTCCTCCTTTTGTTATCTGCCGTTCTGCCAGCTCTGACCATCCTAGCCACCTTCTTGCTCCTGACCTCGTTCAACAAGGCGTTCAGCTTGTCCGCCTTGTCCTTAATGGCTTCCCTCCTTTTCTTAATACTGGCGTCTTTCTTCGCCACGAGGTACAGCCTATTAGCCAGCCCGTGTATCTCCAGGAAGACTTCTCCGATGATCTCCGTCATCGCCTTCCACTCACTTAGTCTTATGACGATTTTATCGTCCTCCTCCTCATTGTTCTCCCTACTCACGGCGGCCTTTTTCCTTACCAGCTCCCTTGCTGCCGCCACTTCGCTGCCGCTGTCCGACACCTCTGCCTGAATATCCATCTCCGAGGTGCTGGCAGCTCCGTCCTTCGCGTCCTTCAGCGGGCTTCTAGCCAGACTTCTCGTCGGCCTGAACGCCATTTCTTCCTCAGGCGTCTTCCTTAAGTACTTGACGATCCTGTCGCCTTTCAAGATTTCCTCCTTGACGACTCGGATTGCCTTTCCGCTGGTGGGCGTTATTCTTTTCGCTGCTTGCGGAGTAACTCCAACTTCTTCGGCGATTTCCTGTATGTCCTCGTCGAACTCCAGAAGTCTCCTAGTGGGGGTTCCTTTCCCCTTCTCCTCCTTGGCGAAGCGTATTGCTTCTTGATCCCCGGTCGTAATTACCGAACAAGAGGAGACCCTGGGACCGACCTTCCCCTCGTCGTTCGTCCAGTCACTAGATGACCGTCGGGTCAAGTCTGGGACGCTACTCGAGTCACCGACAGGACCTGTAGGCTCCGAAACCCCCTGAGCCGTAATTTTAGTTCCTTTCATTAACTTCTCCATATTACTATCAAAACAAAAGAGAGTCCGTGTCCGTAGCTAGTCGTCGCACTATCTTTGTCCGTCCTTCCGAATGTTCTCACTCATGTCCAAAAATACTCGCCACTATCGTTTTATATATTCCGACCGAAATTGTTATCTTTTTTACCGCGGTCGATAAGCACGGTCGCAATTTGCGAATGCACCCAATGCCGGTTGCGTTAGCACGATCGGTAACCTTACCGGCGGTGGAAAAACGCACCGACGGTCGGTAAGCACTGTCACCGCCGATAGCCCCACCGGCTCGGCAAGTTCTATCGCAGTTGGTAAACTTACCGATAGTCGGTAACCTCAGTCGCTGTCGGTAACCCTACTCTCAGTCATGTTGTATCTCCACCTAGTGTCTGCGGTCTGTCCATTTAAGTTTTCTTCGTAGAGTATAGTTTTGATCCCTATTTTTCTTTTTATGTGATAGATTATTGGAATATTATTTTGGTCCTGGAGGTAGTTTTTTTCGTCTAGGTATCGGAAAGCTTCTGGGGGATGCAGCCTGTTGTCAGAGTGTTTTTGTAATATGCGTTGTTAGGAAATAGGCAATTGAAGATTAAGCTATTTTCGTTTATTTTTGCCGCTTGCGCGAAGTGGTTTCTTATTAGCTTTAGGATGTGACAGTCTATGCGGTGAATGTTGGCTAGGTCGTAAATTATTTTGTTTTTTACATATTTTTTGAATCCGCTGTGTTCGGATCTGTATGTACTCAAGCAAGCCCTGATGCATTTTCTTTCGAATATGTGAATTTTTTCCATTTGGGAGGCTGATATGTTGTACCAGATTGGGCAGCCGTAGGTTATGATCGGTCTGATTAATGCTTGGTTTTTTTTATTTATTTATTTAAATTTTACAATTTATCCAGTAGGACATTTGGTAAAATATAGCGGTACACTAATATAACATGTGGGTGGCTACCCCCAGCAGGGTACCATCATCGTGTTTGTTAGGTTATGTCCTTTGTGAGATCTGTTGGGTGTTTCCTTTTTAATCTTCTTTTTATGTTTGATGCGCCGATCGTTTCCCCTGCCAGCCAGTTTGGGTGCGTTGCTATCCTTCCCCTGCCAGCCGGTTTGGGTGCGTTGCTATCCTTTCTCTGTAACTTCTTGCACATCTGTTAATCTCCTCCTTGACCGTTGGTATTCCCAGGTCTTTCCGAATGCCCTCGTTTCTAACGTACCATGGCGCGTTTACTATTGTTCTGAATATTTTAGCTTGCATTGCCTCTATTTTGGTTATATGACACATTGCTGCTGTTCCCCATAGTGGTATTCCATATGTCCAGATTGGTTTTATGATCATTTTATATATTTTTAGTTTATTTTCTATACTTAGTTTGGATTTTCGACTTGTTAGCCAGTACATTTGTCTCTTTGCCATTTGTATTTTGTCTATTATTGCTTTAATATGCTGTTTCCATGTGAATCGTATATCCAAGTGGAGTCCTAGGTATTTGACTTGCCTTGTTTGTATTATGTGTGTGCCGTTTAGTACAATGTTTGGCGGTTTCTGTTTTCGCAGTGTGAATGTAATGTGTTTGCATTTATCGGGGTTTGATTTAATTTGTTTAGCTTGATGCCATTTTTCTATTTTTGTGATATGTTCTTGTAGTAATGTAACCGCTGTTACAGGGTTAGTGTGCCTGACTAGTACAGCTGTGTTATCCGCGAATGTCAGCATTTTGCTATTGTTAGTTGTTGGTATGTTGGCCGTGTATAATGTGTGTAGAATTGGTCCTAAGACGCTTCCTTGCGGAACCCCTGTCTTGATGTCTTTAACTTCCGAGTATGTGTCTTTAATTTTTACTACGGAGGTTCTGCTGCTAAAGTAAGATTTAATTAAATGGTATATCTGCTCCGGGAATTGTTTGCTGATTGAATGAAGTAGGCTATTGTGGTTTATCTTGTCAAATGCTTTCTGGATGTCCATAAAGAGGGCTGTGCAGTGTTGTTTGTTTTGTAGTGCTAGTATTATTTCATTGACCAGTCCGTGCATTTGCTCTATAGTGGAGTGTTTGTTTCTGAATCCGAATTGGTGATCCGGTATTAATTTTTCCTTCTCGATTATTGGCTTTATGCGGTCGTAAATTACTTTCTCTAGTATTTTAGAGAACATAGGAAGTAATGAAATTGGTCTGTATGATTTAGTTTAATGTGGATCTTTGCCTGGTTTAGGTAACACTATGATCTGTGCCAGTTTCCAAATTTTAGGAAAGCATTGTGTTCTTAGTATTACGTTAACTATTATTGTAATTTGTCTTATCGCTTTTGGCGGAAAGTTTTTCAAGATTTTGCCATTGATTAGGTCGATTCCTGGTGCTTTATTATTTTTTGTTTTCTCGATTATGTTTCTAACTTTTTGTGCTATTGTTTTGGATATGGTGTAGCGTTTGTCAGTTGATGTACTAGTGGTTAGCGCTTCCTCGTCCGTATGACTATTGTGGTTGCTGTTGTTGATATTATGTGGTGTAAATGTGTTGCATAGGTGGTTGGAAAATTCCTCAGCTTCCTCTTTGTTGCTTCTTGCCCATGTGTTATCTGATCTTCTGATTGCTGGAGCCATTTTTATTGTCTTCCTTATTTTTTTTTTTTTTTTTTTTTTTTTTGGTTTTTCTTTTTTGTGGCTTTCCATAGGGAGTAGTTGTAGTTCTCGTGTACAGATAGTGACTCAATGAACTTTATAAACTCGTTGTTTTTGTGCTCTTTTATTTTGTTTTTTTATTTCCTATGCGAGTTTGTTTAGGTGTTTTTTGTTTTCTTTTGTTCTGTGTTTTTGCCATTTTGCTTTCGCTTTCCTTTTTTCTCTAATTTTTTCGAGGATGTCTACTAGAATTATTTTTGTTCGTCTGCTGGTTGATTCGGGTATAATGGTTGCTCTTGCTGCTACTTGAATAGTTTCTGTAAATGTTGTTACTGCTTGATCGATGTGTTCAGGTGTTTTCAATGGGATGTTGCAGTTGATTTTGCTCTCAATTATTTTTTCAAATGTTTGCCATTTGGTGGTTTTATTGCATAGCGTCTCTGAATTGCTGTAAAGTATTGGTTTGTTTCTGTATGTAATTATTATGGGTGTATGATCGGAGGTAAGCTCGAGGCTGGGTGCTATGTTTAGTTTATTTGCGTTTAGTTCCGTTGTAACTGCAAAATCTAGTAGGTCGGATATTTTGCTCAGGTCTGTCGGCCAGCATGTCGATCTTCCCGTGGATAATATATTGAGGTTATTGTTTCTAATGTAGTTTTCTAAAGTTCTACCTCGTGGTGTAGTGATTCTTGATCCCCATAGTGTGTGCTTTGAGTTGTAGTCTCCAGCTGCGATATACTTGTCATCTAAGTATTGAAAGTACTCTTCCCACATTTGCGATGTAATTTTGTGTCGCGGCGGTACGTGTACTGCTGAAAACTGTAATTGGTTGCTGCTAGTTTGTACTGTAACGGTGGTTGCTTGGATATATTCCTTACAAACTTGACTGTGTAAATGATGTTTAATGTCGTATTTTATTACTACTGCGGTCCTTCCGTGTGCTTTTCCTGAGGGATGCTTGGTATCATATATGGTGTAGTATGGTATTTTTATATAGCTTTTTGTAGTGAAGTATGTTTCTGATACGAGTAGTATGTCGATATTATTGTTGTACAGGAATGTTAGTTTCTAGGGCTCTTTGTTGTAGGCCGTTAGAGTTCCAGGCTGCTCTTTTAAGCATGTCCATTTTTATTCCAGGCTGCTATTTTAAGCATGTCCATTTTTATTTCTTATTTTTTGCTCAGCATGTTTGTAAGTAGTTGTAGCATAACTGTTATTTGTTTCGCTTGCTGTCTGAGGACTGCGTTTTGTTCGCTCATCATTTTTGTAAGTACTTTTCCTGTGTATGAGCAGTGTATTGTTAAGTGATTTTTTGCACATTTAACACATGTCGGGCTTCTGTTACAATAATTTTTTGTGTGACCGTATTGTTGGCACCACAGGCATTGTGGTATATCTTTTTTGTAGCGTGGTGGTTCCACTGTTACTGTAGTGTTTAGAATCTTTTGGATTTCATAAATTTCCTTGTTATTGGTTCTGGGTTCCATTTCTATTAAGAATAGCGGTAATGGTTGCTTCGTATCGTACCTTGTCATATTGTTCATTGTTCTTGTTTGATGGCCAATTTTTGCTAGTTCGTCACTTAATTTTTCTGTGTTAATTTTTGGATGTAATCCTCTTATAACTATTTTGTAGCTCCTTTCCCTTTTGAGCTGGTATGTGTGGTATATAGCATTTTTCCCCTTAATTCTTTTATAACTTTCCTATAATTTTCTGGTGTGTTTGTTTGGATTTTTACCTGTTCTAATTTTGTTTGTTTTATTGTGTAATTATCCTTTCCAACAATATTGTTAAGTTGATCACTAAGCGGGTCTATTATTTGCGTGTCAACAAATATTGGTGGAGGTTTTGTAATGTGTGTTGGTTGAGTTGTGGTATTGCTTGTTGGGTCGTCGTCTAATTCTTCCGTTAGCGAGCTGAAGGAGTTTCTTAATAGTAATTCTTGCAGCCATCGCTGCTTTCCGTATCTAGATAACCTGTTATTTTTCGTTTTTTATTGTAGCTGGCCACCTTCCAGCTTTCATCCTGTTGAGTTGTTTCTTTATTGGTTTCCATATCAACTTCAATTGTAACTGAACAGTCCTACTCGTGGCTTTGTTGATAATTTTTATCGGAGTAATTTGTTTTTTCACGGTAAGTTTGCTTCTAGTCTTCGTAATAGAAGACACAGGTTTCTACCATTTAGCTATTGGCGTAGCCGTTCGTAACTTTCTCTTCCCCACTTGCCGCACTGTCGTGAAACACTTTTCACGTCCGCTTAGCTGCTCGGGCAGAACTGGCATAAAAGGTCGTATGACGCGAGGTGTCCGTAGTTTTTGCAGTTAACGCAGAATATTTTCTCTTTGATTACTGCCTCTTCTTTTTTTATTTTGCACTCGCCTGGACCATGGGGCTCAGTGCATTTTACACAGTGGTAGTTTAGGTTACAGTTTTGCGCTGTGTGACCTAGCCGCTGGCATTTGTGGCATTGTGTTATGTCATCTTTTTTTTTATTATTTTTTCCCATTTTATCCTGAAGTAGTTAAAATGGTTAATTTTTAACAGGTTACTTATATTGCTGTCGGGGGATAATTGTATTATGTAAATTGGGAGCAATATATTGTTCTCCCTTGATCTTTTTGTCGTAAATCGTGAGACTTTTGTAAATTGAACGTCGTCTATTTGTAAAGCTTGTAGGTCTGTGAGTATTTCCGTTTCAGTGTAACTATTGTCTAAGCCTTTTAACAAGTATGTGTGGTGTTTCTCTGCTTTGGGTGTATACCTATAAAGGGTTGTGTTGGCTGCATGGAGTGTTTTTTAGCTTTGTGGAAATCGGGTAGGTTTCGAAGGTAGAGAGCATGTTTACCTGAGTGTATCCTTTTGATATAGAATTGATGCATGTTGGATACTTTCTCTATGAGCGTTACTGTGTCCTTTGGGTTTTGTAACGTTATGTTGATAGGCGGCGGTTTGTATTCCCTTGTAGTGGATGGGGCCTTCGTACGCTCCTCTGCGGTGTGTCTGGTGAGGTGTCCGTCGGGTGCCCCGCCCCCTCGTGGTGATGCTGGTGGAGCTGAGCCTCCTGGGTTGTTCGATGGGGCCTGTCGCCCCTGTGGTGTTGATTGCTTTAGCGGTGTGGTGGGACAATGTTTTCCCATTTTGCTACGTAATACTTTTTTTGTCTTATTTGCTCTAGCGTTGAGCTCGATGTTGAATTGTTTGGTGGTCCCGGCTGTAATTGTGGTTGAGGTTCTGATTGTA